TGACGGTAGTCTTTCCTCGATAGGGATAATACCAGTGAGTTGGTACAGCAGAGGGTTTGGAGGGTTGTGTTTGGGGTTATTGGGATGCCTTAATCTTTTTATTTTTCTTATAGCCATTGTTTCAGATACTTTAATTGTTTTCAAGGCCCTTTGTTTGATATTGAGAAACAGTGGATGCGGGTATCCAATAAGTGTACAGATTAGTTTATATATTCAGCTTGCTTTTGATATTTTTGCACCTGCTCCCGGGTTTGTCAAACTTGTGAAATTTACGGCTCTTGCAATCACTTAATTTTTTTTGTTATTGACGTTTGTTCACATTTGTATTTTTCTTTTATTAGGATGTTTTAAAAGTATTGTCCATTTTAATGAGTCTACTTTAAAGTGTAATATCTCAGTGCGCCATTAGAATCAGTGCACTTTTGTCAATGTAACACAAGTTACCGGCAGAACTTCGACGCTCAATTCGTTAAATTTTCGGACGGTAATTTGTGAAACGTACGGACGGACCCTGTCGTGGAGCAGGATCGGACCTCTTATGTTGACCAGTGCCGGCTGCTGCTGACGCAGCAGCAGAAAGTTATAGTGGATCACACTAGCCGCTGACCACCATACAGTGACCATGGTCTTTTTTTGTGAAGTGCTTGGGTGGCTGGCTCATCGTTTTCCAACCACTGTCTTCAACGTCTCCTATTGACGTAGAGGTTCCACTTTTCATCACATGAAACGATCCGATCCAAAAAAGGATCATTCTGTTTGTGTAAAAGCAAAGAATAACATAATTTCTGTTGAATATTACTGGAGTTTTTTCCCAACACCAAACCGTTATTTCAACACCTAGACACGTGTTTCGATCGCCAAGTGATCATCTTCAAGAGGAAGATACATATGAAGTTATTTATACCATAGATACCTCTTCTAGGTACCTGCGTCTCAAGTGTCTTAAATTAATTTCACAATATTGCCTTATCTACTAGTCTTGGTCTTTATTCCTAATATTATTATGTTTACTTATTTCTACACTCTCATAGGCATCTAGATACCTGTTGTTTTCGTGTCCTGGGTAGGCAATGTTAATAACAATGGTAATGAACTCTAAGGAGTTTTTGATACTAAAACCTGGTTCCGCATACAAAATACAAAAAAACAGTGTTCTGCAAGAAGATGAGATTTTGGTTTCCTTTGATGTTAGTTCCTTATTTTCTAGCATCCCAATACCTCAGGGAATTACTAGAGAAAAATAATTTGAATAATATCGAAATTGATGAATTCCTTTCTCTCACTAATTTGTGTATGAAACAAAACCGGTTCTAGGTAGAAGGTTGCTTTTATGAACAACAGGAAGGAACAGCTATGGATAATCCTTTGTCCCTCTACCTGGCAAACCTGAGCAGATTCGAAATGGAAACCAAAGAAAAGTCAAAGTATTTTTCTAGGATATGGCTAAAGTATGTGGATGATGTCTTCGCAATATTCAATAACAAAAAATCGAATATTGGGGACATTGTTTCCTTTTTTGAATAACAGATATCCATCAATAAAGTTCACATATGAGTTAGAAAATGAAGGACAACTTCCATTTCTTGACGTTTTGGTAATGAGGAGCCAATATGGAGGGCTAGAATATGATGTATTTAGAAAAGAAACAAGCATGTACAGCTATATTCTTAACAGTTCACATCACTGTGGACAGCACAAACGTGCTGGGCTGAACTTTCTAGTGACTTTTCCTCTCACACGTGAGAGAGGTTCATAAAAGAAAAACGTACAGGAAACAGCAGCCACTAACGGTTTCTTAAGGGGTATTGTAGGTGACATAATAAGGAAGAAGAAATTTAGGTTAAGAATGAACGAAATCTCGACTTTCAAAAACAACAAAAACCAAGATAAATATATCTCAGATCCATACCACCAAGACACAAAGAACTTTGGAAAGATTTTCGAGGAACTACGTATGGAGGTGTTTTTAAAACAAGTCATAGACTACAGAACATTTTAGGAAGACCAAAAAGCCGAGAATTCGGAAAAGTCTGGAATTTACGGAATTAAATAAAAGGTCTGCGATGTAAAATATTATGGACAGACAAAATATCTATTAAAATAAGATATAAGGAACACTTAGCACACTTAAAATATGGAAGACCTGAAAAATCAGCAGTTGCCCATCAACTTTTGCAACAAAACCATTCTATAGACTTCACTTCATTAGGATTAGTTAGACAAGTTAACAAAAACAGGCATCTAGATGCCTATGAGAGTGTAGAAATGAGTAAACATAATAGTATTATGATTAACGCTAGTGGATCAATACCTAATAGTATACTATATAGCTTGTTAAAATGATATTTTAATTATTAGATTTACCTGACTGTTACATAAGAACACATTGTAAAATTAATTTGAGACTAGTAGATAAGGCAATATTTTGAAATTAATTTAAGGCACTTTAGACGCAGATACCTTGAAGAGGTATCTATGGTATAAATAAGGATAACTTTGTAAGTATGATTAGTTTGATCTTCCTCTTGAAGATGATCACTTCGTGATCGAAACACGTGCCGAGGTTTTGAAATAACGGTTCGGTGTTGGGAAAAAACTCCAGTAATATTCATTACTACACCAACGGTTCCAAACAGTGCATCACAAGAATTTCTGTTGATCGAGCTTTTCGAGCTTTTTGAAGTTCCCAATACGTTTCAAAACCATCAAAAACCGCATGGGAGCTGACGTCTAATTATTCCGCCGTCCCACGCACCGTTCATGATGAGTTATTCTCCACCAAAGTCCTCAAATTCTCGTCCTTTAGCCAAGGAAGCGGCCGGACTAAGAATTTTAGGACCCAGTGGCACCTACGGCCTGATGACTTGACAATTGCAGAACTAGTCAAATGTTACACCCATGCTCAATCCTTAAAGAGATGGGATGAAATCAAAGGATGTACTTGCCAGGATCACTTTGGGCGACACTGGGAAGCTGGCCCCGAAGAAATATCTGGCGATGACCAGGAAAAATCTACGCCTAACAGTAGGATTTCTGACTGGTCACTGTCAATTAAGGAAACACTTCCATAATATGGGGCTAGTGGACACACCTCTATGCAGGATGTGTGAACAGGAATATGAGACTGTCAGGCATGTCCTGTGCGAGTGCCCGGAGTTATCGTCAATAAGAGAGTGTGTGTTCGGCGAGTCTTGGCCTACAACTGCCGATATAAAGGAGATGTATCACAGCGACCAGTCCACCTTCCTGGAAAGGAGAGGATGGACGATGACCTTGGAGGACAACTCCTCGGGAGGATGTACAATGGGTCACATGTGGCCTAAGTGCTGTGGGCTTACACTCACCCTCCTTACTCTACAGATACAGAGATACAGATATACCAATTCTGGAATTTGTATGTATATATGGAAATAAATAATCGTTTATTTTACACCTCTATTATTTTCTACATAAATGTGACATACTGATAGAATTGTAAAACAAATAGGGAATAAGGAAAAGCCAACAGTTTTCAGTTTACTAACCTCAAAATAAATAACTCGATTAGTATGTTCAATTACAGCTGAAGCATCAGAGGCAAAAAAATATTCAACTTGTTTATCTTCCAATGGTTCAAACTCAGACGTGGATCCGGTCCTTGGTAATGTGGGAAATTCTCCTCTACCATGTGGTCTGTGTTCTGAAATTAAGTATAGAATTTTTTTTATTGAAAAATAAGCATTATTATACCAGACACCCACTGTTCAAGCCCAGCAGCAAAAAGAACAATTTTTTGTATTATATTTTCTTGCTTTGTTAAAACATGAAAATTGTGAAATATAACAGAGTATTTAGCACAAAAATATGACAAAAAGTGCATACAAAAATCATAGCGGAGAATTTAAATGGACATAAATATTACATTAAAGGAAAAATAAAATCGGATTTAACAATCATCATATGAAAATCGATACAAATTCAAAAAAATTATAGAAGAAAGGATTATAAACTTATTGAGTAGAATTTTTGATGAAAAATTACATTCTCCACTAAAACACATTCCAGCCTAGGATGGACAAGACACACTATACAACCAGAATGGAACTATACAGGTACTTAATTTCCCCACTGCAGAAAAAAATTGAAATCAATTACCTTTATGTAATATCATGTAGGTATTGATCAATTGAATCATGTTAACTCTGTTTCAGAAAGTTTATATAATAATTCCAAAATTATAAAACAACAATAAAAATTAATTGGCGCTCCGGGGCGACTTCATTGATTCCAGTAGCGCATTTGCTTTTTCAGCTGCAGGAAAACCCGGAAAAACCTGCAGCACCACATCATCTGAAGATTTTGATCAGAATACACTCAAATAATCAATTTTGGTGAATTTTTCAATGCTAAATTTTTCAATTTCTGATGACCAACATTGAGTACATATTACAACAATTTTTCATTTCAAACATAAAACTATTAGATACTAGAGTAGGAATTTGCCTGAATTCAGATGGGATTCAATCCAAAATAAAAAAGTGGCATACCTAAGTTGTATCCTTTGAAAAACATTCAACGGTTCATAGAATCCAATCTACTGGTAACTACTCAAGAACTTTCACAGACTCTTGAAACCAATGGTGAGATGGATCATATCTATTTATAGCTATATCAATAGTTTTGGCAGATCCGACCAGTTTTTTGTTACAAAAATTTGAACCAATTTTATTTACAGAGATATATTGTCCAGATTTTATATTCTATATCTTTATTGATTACAGGTTCATAACTGATATCCCTATGAAATTTTCGATAAAGAAAATGTATATTTTTATAGGCTGCATGTAACAATCGTGTTTCATTTTATCAAATCAAAATTTGTTTTCAAGTCCACTTGAAACTGTTTTTTGTCTTGTATTGATTTCCTTTATGATGGCACAATTTGGCTACAAATACTATATTGGCTTATAATCAGTTAAACCCAAAAAGGGGTCAGGCCCTGTGCCCAAAGTTTCCACCCATTTGGATGGTTTGTCAGTATCAGTAACCAATGACCACTCCCCACTTACTGGGGAAAGTGATTACTGGATTTGAGTCGGGTGCACTAAGACAACAGACGAATGACAAGTACAACCTCCATTTTGTTAAATGGGAAGTATAGGTTTGTGATATATCGTTTGAAAGGTCTCTTCATTCTCTTATCGCTACCCCTACCTTCTCTTATGTTATTGCTTTCAAGTTTATTGCAACAATTAAGATAAAATAAATTAAATCATGTGGTTACCGAAATTCGATAAATACACCCAAAAACTAAAATGTAATGCAAAACGTAATGAAATGTAGAATATGAAAAAGAACTATGGATGTTACCGAAGATGTTCAAAATGTTCACCGCGAACGTCTTGGCAACATCCTAATCTCAAATAAAACTGCCTTCTAACATTATTTAACATATCAAGCGTGACCGACCTAATCGCAAGCGTTATTCGTTCTTTTAAGTCATTCAAATCTGAAGGTTTAATTTTGTACACATTGCTTATAAGGTAGACAACCAAGTATACACCCTTGGTTAAAGGAAGGTAGCGTTGACGTTGCTGACAACTAAACATAGGCAGTTAGGTGACAACGCCCCAAGACTTGTAACTGTAACACTTGTAAGGTTAGAGTTGCCATAATAAATTATTTGTTCGTTCTTACCAAGCTCAGGTGTAAGTCATTTCTCCCCTTGTATTATACTCATAAAATTGGTTGATGACTAGTAGATCGTTGTTGCTTTTGATTATTTTGTTTTTTATTTTATATACCTATGTTCTTGCATTGCTCAAGAAGTTTAAGCAGATATTTAATTGGGTGTAGTTCAGTCTGTGAGAATTTGTAGGCAAAACTTATGAATACGACTGACTAATCGAACTTTTCAGTGGTTTATTTTACGCGGTAACTTTTCGGGGAGAACTTTTCAGTTTGCTCTTTATTACACTTCAGCAGACTTAGATTTGTTTATTTTTCAGATTGTGGAAGGTAATAAATAAAAAAAAACAATAGGCAGTATTGGGTCCTCCACAAAAAATGTCTTTCAAAGAGTATTAGTTAATGTATTGTTAGTATTAGTTGATGTAGCTATAAACTGTTAGGCTAGACTTTTTTATGGAGATGCACAAGCACTCTTCTGTGAGCGGTGCCCATGCGACACGTTGGATTTAAATCGCTGTAGATTACATTTACTTTGGAGATACGTCTTGGGAAGTTTATTCCACAACGAAAGTGTATATTGAGTTTAACCACAGAGGCATCAACAGCAGTAAATTACCGCTTACTTCTGATACTGAAGAAGCTATTGTAGAGCAGAACAATGTTGCGTTTTATACATTGTTGTGTGAATATCCCACATTAAAGGTTGTAAAATAAGTTCATTACAATCATGAGGCAACAAAGCAGTATATTACCGCTTACTTCTGATACTGAAGAAGCTATTGCAGAGCAAAACAATGTTGCGTTTTATAAACTGTTGTTTGAATATCCCACACTAAAGTTTGTAAAATAACTTCATTACTATCATGAGGCATCAACAGCAGTATATTACCACTTACTTCTGATACTGAAGAAGCTATTGCAGAGCAAAACAATGTTGCGTTTTATAAACTGTTGTGTGAATATCCCACACTAAAGTTTGTAAAATAACTTCATTACTATCATGAGGCATCAACAGCAGTATATTACTGCTTACTTCTGATACTGAAGAAGCTATTGCATAGCAAAACAATGTTGCGTTTTATAAACTGTTGTTTGAATATCCCACAATAAAGGTTGTAAAATAAGTTCATTACTATCATTAACAACATTTTTTAACTCTAGGTGCGAGTGGAATTCAAGCTAATATGTAGAAATCGTCAGTTGGTTCAGTTGAACATTGAGTATATATTGATTTCTGAAAATTGGGTCCATTTAGTGTTGAAAATTTTGACAAATAATCCAAAAACAAAGAATCCAATCACATTGAAAATATCGCATTTGCAAAATATTATGTTCCAGCTTATACAGCCAATCATTGTTCCAAGAAAAGTCGTTTTATATAGAATTCTGAATTCTATCTATGTAATTATAAATTTTCTTATCTTCAACAGTAGCCTAGTGTCAGGAATACAACATCAAGAGTCACCGAAACATAAAATCTTCATCAAAATAACATAAGAAAAAAACATGCTCATAAATATCTACTTAATACTTTAAATATATCTAATATTAATACTGACCTATAAGCAACTTACCACTTCATTAATAGAGTATACTTTTCAACCACCACCTCATTGGTTACAGACTTAGCTAGTCACAGATGTACTAGTTATTAGAAAGCCTTATATAAGCTAGTGTTAGAAAAAGAAAACGACAAATGGTACTACCTGGATTGGAATCTGCTTCTGCAGGGGGAACCCAGAAATAAAACAGGAAGAAAACAAACATTAAAAACGGAAAACAAACATAAAACAAATAAATAAAAGCTGGTAATCATTCCTCAAAGCGCAAATATTGAATAAAAATAAAGAATTATATTGAAATATAATGATATAATTTTTTATTCATACAGAAATTACACTTTCAAGTATTCTATAAAACGACATATTGATATTGATTAATCTTTTTCCATTGTAATCGTATTTAAAATGATCCTGCATGTTATTTGTTTGACTTTAAAAAAATCGTCATACCTCATATTTATTAACATTTTTCAGTGGAAATAACAATTTATAATATGCCTTTATCTATACCTGCATACATTTCTTGGATTTCATAACTTATGCAAGCAAATAAAAATAATCTAATCTGGGAATTGTTTTATCCAAGAATACTTGAAATATATTTTTGGAATTGTTGGAGTGTTTCAAGGTAGACAAAAAAATCACTATCAAATTAAAAATCTGCTACTTCAGTAAGTGTGTGATAATGGGATACCATCAAACTTCAACAAGTTATACACATTTGATAAATTAATTAATATTCTTTATGTGTATTTTTATACAGAGTGACTAAAATTTTACAAAACATCTTGAAAGCTTTTACAAATCGAACAATTAGGCAATGTATGAATATATGAGAAATTAAATATTTCAAAATGAAATCTCGAAATATTAATCTCTCCCAACTACCTACATCGTAGGTTCTGATAAATGCCTGCCAGAAAACAACTACTTCCCCGGCTGATTCCATGCTGGATATTGAATTATATCCGATATACATTTATGCAAGGTACCTCACAGAGGTTAGTTTAGAAGATGTTTCTCGTTCATTCAGGAGCAGTATCATGCTGAAATCATTCAAGTAGATCGCCTACAGACCGGTTTCGGGGCATTACCTCTCACCAGTGCAGGAAAGATCCGACACAAAATCGAGTCCTAGACACTTTGTTGTTTGGGTCGGATCTTTCCTGCACTGATGAGGGGTAACACCTCGAAACGGGCCTGAAACAGCGTGGCATTAGCTGGGGAAGGTGTTGTTCTCCGGTGTGTGTAGTTGGGAAAGATGGATATTTCGAAATATTTATTTTCTAATATGTATACATCTCTCGTAAACACCTCTCCAGTATTAAAATAAATTTTGAATGTACGAATAACGTGACAATCAACTGCAAATGAAAAAAAAAAACGTTCATATTCGGTCACTTTGAATAGATAGCAGTTAACCACCTGTGAATATATCAACATCGAGAAACAAAAATTCCTAACACATATCTCTACATTTCATTATGTTCAAATAATATTTTGAAAGATCTACATCTGTCAAACACTCCAACAAAACACTGCAATTATATTTTCTGAAACACTATAAGAAGCAGGCAATTACCAAAACAAAAGTAAAATATCTTCTCCAAATATTTTACTTTTGTGACATGAGAGATCACCTAAGGGCTAATTGTCCAAAACTCTTTCAAATTATTCCCAAGATGACCTCAGAAACACATCAAGCGCGTCTAGTATTTTGAAGGTGGAGGTGGGTGAGACATTTATTCAAGTTCACTTTGTCCCTATTTCATTAAAAAATATTATCACAGAAATATTCATGTAATAAAGCTTACAACATATTTTTTCCAGTAAACTTCCAGAATTTCAATGTGATGTCTCAAAGTGAAATTAAATATTTTTACTATTACTGCATACCCACCAGTCTACTTCATATGTAATAGTAAATAATGCATCTGCAAATTACTTCTTTTTCCCTTATCTATTAAGAAATATAGGCCTTCACTTCGAAGAATTAAGAATTTGTTAAAAAAAAAAAAACGAAAAAAATGAGAAAACGAGAATTCTCATTCCAGGGTCTTTGAAAAATTATGAATGTTAAACATTGTCAAAAACCAGTTAAAAAAATTCCTGCAGTGTTAATCTGATTTTTCTTCTAAAGTCGAACTTACAATAAAATGTATGTAAATATCATAGTTGACTCCTTCAAAACAACTCCTCCATATAACAGAACTGAAACACCCTTCTCGAGGGGCTTTTCACGAACCTCATCAGAAGTTGATTCAATTTGATTGCTGATAATTATCCATTCTATTGAAAAATTGTTTCAGGCACGTTTCCAATAAGCTATTATTTTTTATTATTTATATTACAATCGCGAAGTGATACCCAAGAAAGGGACACAAGTATATTTTATTGATTTATTTTTTTGTTTCCAAAACAAAGAATATAGTAATCATCAACTAATCAAATAAAAAATTTGCAGAGTACATTTTCTACAACATACCATGTAACTGTATCAACAGTATTTTTTTATAAAATATCTAATAGTGTTTTTGCATTCGGATTTAATACTCAAAATTCTGAATTTCAGAAATTCAAAGTTTGTGATAAATCATCTCAAACTTTTGCCACATCTGCTCGTTTCATATCTGTTTCCTAATTCATTAAACACTGCATCTTAATTTCGAAAAATGAAAGAGTTTTTTTTTACTAATACACTGATAGTTACGATAATTTAATGTTAATTTATTGATGATTTTTTCAAGTCTCCGTTTTTTTTTTCTGTTGATACCAACATAAATCCGCATTTCCTTCCTTGTAACATTAATTTTCCCATTAATTGGAATTGAGTTGGTGGAAATGAAAACTGTCAATGAAAGTGACTGAGTTTATATTGACAGTTGTCAAGAAAAACTGTCGTTAATGTTTTTTTCAACCAATTTAAGAAAAACATTTTAAAAATTATTAGGTATTTGGTGCATTAAAGATTTTATTATGATAGGAAAAATCATTCTACTATGGTTTTCAGAAAATTAGATAAATTTCAATCTAAAATACCGTACTTCAGGTCAGATTGACGAATATTGATTGGTATATTTATCTAGTAGAAAAATTTATTTCGCTTCGTTTCAAAATGGAGCTCAATCAAACCATTAAGACAAAATTTTTCAAAAGAAGCAAGCGCTTATACAAGGGGGTAATGGGGGTAGTTACCCTTCCACAGTATATGCTTGGTTTCAAATTTTTATACATTCAGTTTGTATAAATATTCAAATCCCATATTCGAGTATACTAAAAAGAAGTGAAAAGAGTTTATATGTTTTTAGTTTTTGCATCATAGGAACTCAAGTGAGTCAGTAAAAAAAATCGATATTTTCAACCAAAGAAAGGTGTCACCCACCACCCAACCTTAAATAAATATAAACATATAACACAGAGGGTGAAATATTAATAACTCAAAAAGGATTCTTATATACCTGCAGCTGGAGATGGAGGTGGATCTTCTACATAGTGCCAAAGGTATCCATAGAAGGAACAAAAGAAGGAACAAAATATTTTGTTAAAAACATTGTTAAAAATGTCACCAACAATAATGGCGTTGTTTCTAAATTACAACATAAAAATGTTACTGATGATTTGATTATTAGGTGAAAATGGATGACTGATTCTATGCACATGAATTTGTACTTGTGAGAACATTTTTGTTAACATGCAAGTGTATGGTGTACCTACTTGATTTTTGATAAAAATAACTATAATATATATGTGCCTTCAGAGTATTTGTTTGTTCATGAAATATAAATGATCTTTATGAACTTAACCATGAATGAATTAATCCATGCAAATGGTAAATTTGCGTTGGATTGTTGTATAATTGTGTTATACACAATATAAATTATATAATACTGGTGAAACAATATGGAATATGAAAAATGACTACATCGAAAATAATTGGAGCAGAAACCGATACATTTTTTTTAAATTATTGAATGTTTCATCTTCATCCTTTTACCACCATAGTAACTAGAAAAAATGGTTCAAGAATGTTTTGAATTTATCCAAAATTATTTTTTGAAGGGTGGAATACTTATTTCTTTCTATCTTCAGTGTTTAGAGTTAATTTGAAGCAAAAAAAATGGTTTTTTACTTTTAGTTTCAATTCGTCACAATATTAATACAGTGCGGTCCATTATATGTTGCACAATAGAAATTTGAATACTCCTCAAGTTAGTGCATATTGGATGTCAAGTCCATATGTTCCATATGATACAATTTTATGATATAATGATATTGAAGTAACCATAATAAAACAAAAATGGCATAACATTTCTCAAACTAAATCACATTTGTAAAATTTACTGGGGTTTTTTTTTAGATAACGAAAATTGAATTGAAAACCCAAAATTTGAAAAAAATGCAGGGATCAGGTAATTGGTGAAAAGGATGGTAACTCAATAATGGAAATGATAAAAATATAAAAACATCTTAAAAGATAACTACCATTAAACGGTCTAAATTACGATTAGTTTATTTTAGTAACAAATGGAAAGTGAAAATTAGTGAAAAGTTAAACAAGCTCTTCTAACGTTATTCACAAACTATTTCATGCTGAAAAAATCATGCAACACATACCATGCAAAACCTGTTACCTTTAGTTTTTTCAAAACTACAGACTCCGCAACCTGGTGAATTCAAGTTTGAAATACTATTCGAGACAAATATGTTGATGAGAGGAAATTGTGCAAGTTATTGTCAAAAAACTCACCCTTTCCATACAAAATGGGAATGTGATCTGTAGCCAATCGTGTGGCAGTCTTTATTCCCACCAAGAGTGGAGAACCTCTACGGGTTGCTACACATTCTCCTGGGAAATATTTGGACTTGAAGCATAAGGCAAAAGCTCCCTCCTGAAATTGAACATACGAATAAATTCATGATATGTGTTAGAATTGGCCGACACTTTGTTCAAAAAACACTTCAAAGTGGGATTTCCACTTGACAGTTTACAAAACCACCACACGTGTTTCGCTATACAGTAGTATCTTCAAACGTTACAATACATCAGGCGTCACATGTATTGTAACGCCTGAAGATGCTACTGTACAGCAAAACACGTGTCACTGTCAATTGAAAATCTCATATTGAAGTATTATAATGGATTTCTATTTATCGGTCAGATTTATTATATTTTTGGCCGATGAAAATTCATATAATATTCAAGTAATACTTTGTGAGGTTTTGACTGAACACTTTACAGAACCACTACATGTGTTTCAACAACACATGAAAATACCACAGAAAGTGTTATTTGCATATAAATTCGGGAAAATATTGTTGGATATTAGTATTAATGGTGTCAAGAGTAAAGAAAAGAAAAATGTCACTTAATTTCAGTTCAATAATTATTGTTACTTCTAAATATACGGGTAACTTAAAAAAAACGAAGAAAATAATTAATTTCAACATGAACTCTTTACAAAGATATGTAGATCATGCACAGAATATTCTTTCACATTCACCTACAAATTGGTCAATAATTTCTCTTTGCAGTCATATCAATAAATACTATCTTTTAAAATTATTTTGTCGCCTACTGGGTGATGTAGCCGAGCTGGCCAACCAAAGTTATATTTTTTAAATAGAACACCCAGCATATAAATACGTCATTCGATCCCATATGTTTTTACTCTCTAAGGAATTTTTGTTTTCGAATTTCCAATGCGACATTGCCAAGTTATTCCACAAAAACCTATTTTGCAGACACAATTTTTTTTAGTACACCACCCGCATGTCTACAACAATCAAGTGGATTTTTTAGGAATGCTTAGTCAACATCACTACGATAATTTCTGAAATATTAACTTTCGGAAACAATATATAGGGTGCTCGGTAAAACCAGTCAGGTTTCATTCATTTTCAAACAGACATAATTCAACTTTGTTAAATGGAACACCCTGTATTCTTTCATTTGTATAAAATGTTTCAACATTTCACTACATATTTTATCAGAGGCATACTATAAGAAAAACAGATATTTTACAAATTCATTTATCGATATGACTGAAAAAAAATTGAGCAGTTCGAAAAATTGTTTACTCTGATAGCAATGGACCGAGGGAATCTTGTTGACTCAATCTGTACATATTCATAGATGAAATTGAATTTATTATCATCAATATTATTTCGGCCCTTTTACACAATATTGAAATTATACATTTATGATTTGTGAATCGTATAATTAGTAGTAAAATAGATTCAGAGTCGATCCGACATAAAAATTAATTTGAATTCTTACCAACTGTTGCACTACATTTTCCACGAGCTCCCTGAAAGAATAATTCGGATGTTGTTCATGAAAGTGGTAAATCAACTTGGCGATAATTTCTGTATCTGTCTCGCTCTCGAATACGTGTCCTTTTTTTTCCAGGAATGTCTGAACTGCCTTGTAGTTGGTGATGATACCATTATGAACAACAACAAAACCATTTCGGGGATCTGAGCGCTGAGGATGACTGTTCACTTCGTTGGGTATTCCATGAGTAGCCCATCGAGTGTGGGCGATTCCGCAATGAGTTTCAACTGTGCCTGATACATCAAGTTCGTTACTTCCTGAAATAGAAATCAGCAACATTCAACCTTAGAAATAATGAGGTTGGACCAGTTTATAAACTTTATAAAAAATTCATAGCGTTACCGGGTTACTTGAGCTTTAGTTGAATTGATGGATTGGTGAGGTTAGAGGCGTGGTTTACTGTATTTCTATCAGATAACAAATACAACTTATTAAATCATTAATATTACGTTACTGGCAGTTCACAAACTGCAAGTCAATTTGACGATCATTTTAATCAACATAACAGAGAATTTCACTCCCACAAGATATATCTCCAGTAGTATAAGATTTAACAGCAGTGATTTTTTAATGTAGTGACAAGGTACTGAATTTTCAACAATTTTAGTGTTCTTTATATGAAATTAAAAATTCACACAGAATTTTTTTATAATTGGTTTGCTGTCAGAATTGGAATTCTTTATTACTTTTGGTACAAAGAGAATCTGTTTCTACTTCTATTCATACGAGGAATCGGGAGATTCGGATATGCGGTTGGTTACCTCGTTCATGAGCAGATGTGACGATGATAAATTATGTTGTTCGTGGTTCGCTTCAGCCTAGTTCGAGGAATGATACTCTGAAAGGAAATCGATTTTTAATTATGGAAAATCATCGACTTCATGTTGATGATGGACACTACCTTGCACTGACGAGTGGCCAAACCAGACTGCAAGTGTGTTCGATTCCAGCAGTTGTATCGCCAACAGCATATGCAGGAATTACTGCAGTGAAGAATCCTGCACTGACACCTGTTGGATATAATCCAAAGTCTGTCGTGGTATTAGCCACGGGAGTAGTTTTCTAGTAGGTGTCAGTCCATCTCCTACAGTGTAGGTTAGTTGAGACTGGCCTGAACAAATTGTGTTTTTATACTCTGTCCATTTAAGCAATGGAATGCACGTGATCTCCCAGACAAGGCTGCTTGTATAGAATCGCACTAAGGAACGGCCGAAATTTAATTTTTTTTAACAATATACGGCTGGGAATAGAAAAAATTTTTAGGTTGAGTGTAGGGACACAAATTAGCAGTTTCTTCGGCCGTATCAGTACTTGTACATAAGTTAAAATACCGTATGTACACACCACAGACGTTAAAACGTAACTGCCCACTCCGACACCGTAACAATGAATTCCGTCAGTCGATTGCAGGTAAATCTAATTGGCCATTGTAATGAGGCTTGTGAATTTAACCCAATAGATGTGAATGTGCGCGGTGATCATGGTTTGATCACGCATTTTTCTTTGTTTGGGTTACTTTGTTTAGTGGATGGATACAGTTTAGGTAATTTAATTTACTTCAGTTTGAATTGTTTATTTTATTGACTATTAACAATATTTGCGAGATAATTATTAGGAACGTTTATAAATTCCAAGAAACATGAAATGCTCATAAAAGAACAATAACACGTATCTACACAGTAGGTTCTGGTAAATACCTGCCAGTAAACAACTACTTTGCAGGCTGATACCAGGCTGGACATTTTAGCATGGACCTACTGAACGGAAAACATCTGCATACGTTTCTGTCGGATATAATTAAAGTTTCGGCGTGATATTAGCCGAGGAAATAGTTGTTTTCTGGCAGAACTTACTGTGTACTTATCTTGACAGAGATGAATGTTTCGTTTCGAAACAAACGAAGGTGGAACAAAATTGTAAAATCTGTTAGTTTCTCATAATTTCTTTATTATCGAAGCATTGATAGCGACTAGGTATGCCAAACAAAGTCATCATTTCTGTCAGATCATAAGCATTTTTCCGGTTTTGAAAATATATTTTACACTTCCAAAAATATGCCGTATGGGCATCTTAGATTAAGTCCACCATTTTATCAAAAATATTAGTGAGATAATTTCCAAAAACACAAGTTCCTCCGAATTGTTGAAGCGAAACCTACTGTATATTAAGTACTAGTTCGATAAATTCGGTAGTTAAAGAATGACCCTGAATGACCCAATACGGAACGACAAGAAACTGTTCGATTTTTCAATGCCACCAAAATCACTTTCAATTTACCAAATTATTAGGAACCGTGGTTAACTTACGACTTTTTATTTCCTCCTCGAGAAGAGCTACCTTTCCAGTTTTTTTGATTATTGAGATGTCCTTGGATGCAGCTGAATCGACGGCAACACCTAATTGAACAATAATTTTTGATTACTTTCAACGAATACATGAGAATAGTTATAGTGCAATGGTATTGAGGAATAAGAGAGATTGTCTTGCATCGTAATGATTTATTCACTAATAGTAGACTAACATTGTCTACCTGTTGCCTGGAAATCAAATCTAGTTTCAATCGTTTTTGAAACTAATAGTTCTTCTAGACAAAAATATAATCAACAATTCTTATGAGTAACTATTTTACAGCTACGTCGATGAAATAATACACATCAATAAAATATGCGGTAAAACACAATTTTCTAATATAGGAATGTAGGCTTTCACGGCTGGCGTCAATGTTTTGGTTGGTTTCTGGGTTTTGCCGTGGTCTTCATTGGTTATAATATCCAAACGTTTCAACTGCAACTGCGGCAGTCATCTTCAGTGGCGTGGTCGAAGAATTCTTCTTGACGAGTCAACTGTTTCAGGTGACGTGTCAACTGAATTGAACTGGTCCAGTTGACGTGCCAAGTGAAACAGTTGAAACGACAAGAAGGGTAAATACTTCGACCACGCCACTGAAGATGACTGCCGCGGAAGCAGTTGAAACGTTTGGATATTATAACCAAAATAGACCACGGTAAAATCCGGAAACCAACCAAAAGACAATTTTTTGTAACAAAACAGTTGACGTTTAATCAAAGAGAGCTCCTGTTTGAATGATAGATTGGCATTCAATGTTTTACTATGACATTTGACAGTTTCATTGTTTGCTTGCTGTTTATTAAAATTTCTTCAGTTTCAATTCTTATATGCCTCACAAATAGTTGTTTTCACAACTAATACATTGTGGAAATTTCATATTCCACAGTGGGAATATTCCTCAAATTGGAAATAACCTTTCTAATGACCCGCATACTAACCAAGCGTCTTCAGTTCATTCAGGTTGGAGCCCAGCTCCCTTACCCTTGTTGCTGATTTTCGTCAGAAAGACAAATAGATTCATGACTAAGGAGANTTTTGCGATATTCAAAACAAGGCTTTGGAAAATTTATAAAATAGTTTTATAGTTTAATAGTTAAATGGTTTTGAATGATTTGTATCCTGTATCACTTTTACATACTCCATAACAACACCGTTTTGTTGTTCCTTTTCGTACACATAACATAATTATAATGGAGGCTAAATATTTTTTTCTGATTATTTTGACTTACTACTTTATTTTTTTAAAACTTTTTTCACAATTAATAAACTTCAATTTATACTTTTATCTTTAAAATATGAGTTGCGGGCTCTTTAATATGGATGTTTACAAAAAACAGTACGAAAAAGATGGCTGATACTGACGCATGCGCACAAAAAAAATGTGATGAAAAGGCCTATGCACGTTGCATGTAGACTACGCCGAGCTCCCGACCAATGGAAGATGAGAGGAGAGCCGTGTCATCGGCGTACAGAGATATCTTCACACGCTCAGACCTCGATAAGTCACTAGTGTAAAGTGAGAACAGGAATATTTTATTGTTTTTATAGAATAATCCTGTAACATGGGGTTTTACCCAATACTGTATTTTGAAAATGAATACAATGTAACAAAATGTTGGATTGTTTGGAGCAATGGTCGCATATTTTGTTTTGGTTAGTTAGCAGACTCATATCGGATGCACAAATTGATGACGCATGTGACGCAAGTTTCACAGTTCAGGTGCCTGGAAGATGTGTTTTTATTGAACTCACCATCTAGTTAATCATTTTGATTGGGTGAATGATCAATTCGATAATCAAATCAATTTTTTCGAGTGTTTTTTCCAAGTATCCATTCAACATATGTTGGTGAGAGGCATAAAAGTTAGAAGTGTTTTACGTTTCGAAAATTTTGTCTATTCTGTGTCCAGAACTGTCTTATTGATTAATTAAAATTAATAAAAAAATTAATTAAAATACGATCGGCACAGTTTTCGACGATTGTGGAATCTAATCTTTTTTGTTTTATTATCAATACTCTCTGTGAGGACAACTAGGGCACTATGTCCGTTGCCGCGGTTGAAAACGAAACGGCAAACATAACAACTTGCATATCACGGTCAATAAACCCTGAAAATAGCCTTGACGCGGTTGTAAAATTTATTTTCATTGGTCAATGAGTGAGATCAGCATACATTCTTTATATTGAAAAAAAACTGACCCTTTGATGGTACTATTGCTTGATACTCACATACTGTTGTATATTTTTCAAAAATGGTGAAATTGAGAGTATATTACGCCTGATATACCATGAGAATATGAATTTGACAATGTTTTATGATGAAGTAATGAATTTATCGATTTTCAGAAATCAATTAATTTTTCACCATAGGTATAGAGGGTTACAGAAATACAATGTCATGTACTACTTATAACACTTGATAGATTTTTTTTCATAATTAGTAAATGTAATTATAAGAACGAATAATTATCATTTAAAAATGTAGCACCAAAAAGTCGAAAACAGTAATAATATTACCAAGCAATGATTGAGATACCTGAGAAATTACTACTAAATATATTATATTTATTCAAAATATAAAGAATATTTGAGTACAATACATCCCTTTGAAAAATATCA